TTTCATCATTTTATGACATTGTTTTTCCTTTGCTAATATACACACATATTTCTAATAAAAACAAGTTATGGTATGGAAATTGTGTATTACATTACTATTAATTTTGTATAATGTTATTTGTTATATTATATGGTGTTATCAAAATTATTATTATATTTATAGCATCACTTTTAAAAATAAATCATAATCAAAATACTAGCAAATACATTACCTAGGTCACGGAAGAGGGTCCCACCTAGCCTGTGGACCTGCATTGTCGTTTCCACCGCGACTAGGGCCACCCCAATGATAATTACAAGCAACTCAAGGACGAAATCAAGTGATTGATCAGAGCAGGGCACTTGAAGCGGTTCATGTACAAGGATAGAGAGAGAAAAGTAATAAGTAGAGATGACAAGAGAAAGAGACCTCGTGGTGATGAATATGACTATAATCCACCCCTGAAGAAATGGGTCATCCATATGATCTTGAGAGGCTGCACGGATAGAGATTCCAATAATACTCATAAGCTGCATACGCAAGCTTCTAAGAGAAAGAGAGAAGAGGTCGGCATTGCGTTGGAAGGACAAAGAGTTAATTTTGATTTTGGGGACGTCAAAGGACTACACATACCCCACCATGATGCATTGGTTATCTCAGTTGAGGTAGCAGGATATGAGGTGCAGAGAGTGTTTATCGACAACCGGAGGTCATTGGACGTCCAATTTTATTATTGTTTTAAGAAAATGGATTGAAGGTCGAAATGAAAGAGGTAAGCATTTCCATGTATGGTTTTTACAGGGATGAGGTTGTCCTAATTGGGTAAGTCACCCTTCCAGTGGCGTTAGAGTTGGGAACGACCCGAAAGGTAAAAATGATAAAGTTTCTTGTAGTCAAAGTGGACTCAGCCTGCAACATAATATTGGGGCGCCCAAGCCTAAATGCATTCTAGGTGGAGGTATCCACTTACCAAATGAAGGTGAAGTTCCCTATAGGATATCTCGTAGGAGAAGTATTGGGCAACAACTGACATTTAGGTCATGGTATCAGGTAACGGTTAATGCTGGGCAATAGGGAAGCAAAACGAAAATCAACCTAGTTAAGGTGAACCCGAAAAGGGAAAGTGGAGAAATGGAGCTTAGGGAATAGTTGGTAGAGGTACAAATAATCAAGGGAGTAGATCGAGTAGTCAAGATAGGAGGAAATTTGCAAGAGCCGTTGAGGAGAGAGTTGATTAACCTCATTAAAGAGTTCAATAATACATTTGCTTTCACCATAGAGGAGCTCATGGGAGTCAATCTGAGCATAATGGATCACAGGTTGAATAATTATTGATGAGTCCAATCGGTGAAACAAAAAGGGCGACATCACAAGGCGGAGATGGATTTAATAGAACAAGAGGTCGGGAAGTTGTTGAAGGCAGGCCACATCATAGAGATATAGTTTCCTGAGTAGCTTCCTAACACAGTGATGGTGACCAAGGGGCAAGGTAAAAGAAGGATGTGCATCGACTTTCGAGACATAAATAAAGCATGCTCGAAATATCATTAGGTCAAGGATTAACTAGTTGGTCGATTCCATAGTTGGTTGTGAAATGCTCAGTATGATGGATGCTTTGCAGGTCTACTATCATATTCCACTGGCTAAAAAAGATCTAAAGAGGGTAAGTTTCTTAACAAGTAGGGGGACATATTGCTACGTAGTCATGTCGTTTGGTTAAAATAATACATGAGCTACCTACCAAAGGCTGATTGATGGGATGTTCCAAATACATATAGGTCATAACATGGAAAGCTATGTCGACGGTATGTTAGTTCAGAGGCCGGGGTAGGAAGATCACCTAGCCTACCTCAGAGAAACATTTGAAATATTGAGGAGGTATGGGATAAAGCTCAACCCAGAGAACTGTGCCGGTAGGGTAAACTCAGGAAATTTTTAGGCTACATGGTTACAAGGAGAGGAATAGAGGTGAACTCGAAGAAGGTGCGGGCCGTTTTTGAAATGAAGCCTCCAAAGAATATAAAAAAGATACAGATGTTGACAGAGTGAATATATGGCTTATGTCATTTCATCTCTAATGTGGCGGAAATAAGATGTCCTTTCCTCAATGTGTTGAAGAAAAAGCTCGAGGTTTGATTGGGTACAAGAAGCGCAACAAACCTTTGACAAACTGAAGCGGTCCTGATCGAGTTACCCCTATTAGAGAAACCCAAAAAGAGATAACACCCAGTACACATTGATTAGACGGACGACACTGAGCTCAATATTGCTTTGGGAGAAAAAGTGTAGATGCTCATATAGTTTGTGAGTAGAAAATGCAAAGTGCAGAAACGTGATATTCGGAGGTAGACAAGGGCGCTCGAGAGGTAGTGTTGATTGCTAGAAAACGGAGGCCTTATATCTTGGCCTAATAATTTTAAATATAATATCCAATTATTCATACATGTGACATATAATATTTTATATATATTTGAGTATATGCACATAATTGAATACTTGTTGGAGAGATGTGCTGATAGAAAATTAATATTTTAAACATAAATAAATAACACCAAGAAGTAAACAATTATAACTTCATATGTCATAATTAAGAACTAGAACGTAGCCCGTGCGATGCACAGGCCAATAATTATAAATTGCATGTATTAAAACAATGAAGAAATATTAATTATTATAAAGATAGTTCTGAATATTGATAATGATTTTTTATTTTATCTTATATAATAATTTAATGTATGATTTATATTAGAGATGTTAAATGGTTCTTGGCCCGATGGGCCGGCCCGTTTAGCCCAGAAAAAAAACAAGGTTAGGACCTTTTATTGACAGCCCGTTTAAATCTGGACTTTTTAGGCCCGGACCGTTTAGCCCAAAGCCCGCTAGGGCTAGCCCGTTTAACTTGGGTTGGGTGGTGTATATGTTTTTAGAAAGGTAAAAAATATGTCTCATGATTCCTTGTATATTACAATTTTGTTATTCTACTTCACATGTAATTATGAGTTATAATGTATGTTGACATCCGAGTTCGCCCCAGAAGGAAACCGGACGAAAGGCAACTCTAAAAGCCAAGCCGGAAACCTGATCGGGTGTGAAAGTGCCGAGCTGAATCCCAAGTTAAACTGACCATCACATCTATATGGGTTTATTCCCGAGTCCGGCGTTTGTGTCATTCGAGTGCCGGTGCCGACCTCGAGAAAGTAGCGGTCTGAAGCAAGAATCCGGAGGGCCGGAAGAAGAAAATGGGCTCGGGAGCCAACCTGAAACTTCAGAGCGGTTACTCCGGGGGCAGGCGCGGAACTAGATAGTAATATAATAATACAACTTAGAGGGTAATCATTGGTGATTGGACGGGACGCCGTAGCCTGCCATCCTACAACAGTTAGCCAAGACATAAAGTCTGTCAGCATTAAATGTCTCCCATGTGTACATTAAATGTCTGACAGGCAATGATTAAGAAAACCTTAAATCGCATTAATATCTGTTAGGGAGGCGCCGAACTGCTCTGCAAGAAAACTGTGCGATAAGACCGATGAACAGTGCCACATTTAAGAGCACTATAAATAGGAACCCACTTCATTTATTTTGGGTTGTTGAATTCTCAACTAACAGACCCTCTCTCTACTTTCTCTCTCTAAGCTTGTAATTAACCTTTGTAAGAACTGTAAGGACATCACAAGTGTCGACCTCGTACGAGACGCCGACCCAGTGATCTATTAATAAAATCGTAATTAACTCGTACCTTCTTGCGATTTTCTCATCCTTTTTTTTCACTACCTGTTTCTTTAACCGTTGATCGGAACTGTCCATCAACAATTTATTATTATTATTTTGATAGATAATTATTAATAAATTTTATTCTATTTCACAGCAAAATATTTAAGCCAATCAGAACGGTTAATAAAAAACAAATGAGACAAAAACCTAACACATAGAATATAGTGATAGAATATAAATTCAACATTATGCTATATTGTGAAAATTCCCGAAGCGTACCAAATAACTAGTCAAATTGTAGTTATAAGTAATAGTTCGAACATTTTTTTCTT